TACTTGGCTCCATATAGTGTTAGGTATGAATAAATCATAGAAAGCACTGATAGAACTCAGATGGAGACCAAAAACAAACACAATCGAGAACAACTGGATTTGCTGAATTCAATGCGGTGACTCCTCTGTAATAGCAATACAGATCCATGTTTTAAGTGGTACTGCCAGCAGTCTCCTCTTTTCCCAACAGTAAATCACACCCAATAAATTGGTAAATAGTATGTTCAAAAAATGACAATTTTTCTACAATTAGAAATGTTACTAACAAAACAAAATATTGAGCATCATGTCCTATTAAAAAACCACAAATTCAACAGGTTACATAAGGATCTTCAAGTTTCAGAGATATATCAATCAAAGGGATAAAACAGTTATGCAAAAATCTTACACAATAAACAAAACATTTTATAATAGCTGTATTATCTGGTCTCTTCAGGAAAAAATTTGAGGCAATGCTTTTTCCCCCTCAAGATAAATACCCTGTGCTAGAAGGAGCATTTAAAGTCATCTCAAGGACTCTAATGTGTGTATACATGTGTGTGATCAGTCGTGTCTGACTCTTTGCAACCCCTTGGACTACAGTCTGCTAGGCTCCTCTATCCGTGAAATTTTCCAGGCAAGAATACTGGAGTAAATTGCCATTTCTTAATCCAGGTTATCTTCCCAACCCAGAGATTAAGCCTGAAGCTGTTCTCAAAGTACTGCACTGATCTTTAATGATAATTCAGCAAGAAAAATAACAGTATGATCAGACTTTCATAATTAATCTAAATATAATTTTTAAAAAACAAATTAAATAGATGTACACAAAATAGCTTTTAGGTAAACTTTTAAAAATTTCCCTAAATCTTCTCATACCCTAGAACCTTAAGATTTTCTTAAGTTCAGCTAAACAGTGAGCTAAACTCATTGAATATCTGAATCATTTTCAAATAAGATAAAACACTGAAAAAGTAAATACCGAAAATAAGTTTATCCACTTTTGGCTTTCTCTTACAGAGTTACTAAAGATATTTAGTTTTCTTAGTAAACATGTTTTATGCCATGCTAAAGAACTATACTATGAGAAAGCATGATTCTAGAAATTATGAATGGTATTCATAAATTGACTAAAGAATGCTTTATTAGACACTAAGGTTATCCAAGGATTAAGAATTCTAATCCTTTAACATAATTAAAGCTACAAGAAATATTAAGTGAAAAATCTTCATATACAAGAAAAATAGGATAGTAAAAGAAGGTATAAGAGATGTATTTTTGTTGAAATAAAAGTAAGTAACTGTCCTAAAGCAGGCTTACCATTTCAGAAAGGGAAAGAGGAAAACACAGAATAAAATCTGAAGGGATATTAAGAAAGTTGTAGGTTTTTGGAAAGAGAATCTGGAAAAGGAATTTTATGAGTGATCAAGTTAGGTAAGATCGAAAGAATTTGTTGTAAGGGTTTAAAAAAAATAAGCTTTAATATCAATAGTGTACTTATGTAAAACTGGAACTTAATTTTCCATCATCTACTAAAAGACCAAAGTTTGCTTGGACTATGATCTGCTTCTGATAAAATTCTATGAAAGTTTTCTTTCTTACCTTCTAAGTACTCTTGTCTAGAAAGCAAAGATTTTGTGTTTTACCAAAATTATTTTTCTGTGCTTCATATTATCTTAATCAGATCTTTGTTTTTACTTATGAAAACAAAGTCTTTTCAATTTTAAAAGAAAAAAATTTTGCTCAATACTATGTAACCTTCCTAGGTAATCAAGTATTGATTTATAATAATCTGTGATTGTATTTAGTCAGATATCTGAACTCGTCGATATTTTTGATAAACTTCCCCAAGATAAAATTCTAAATAAAGTCTTTCTGACCTGAAAGTAACACGAAATTTTCAGAGGGCTCTAACAACATCTCAAACGATTTGTTCTCTTTCTTTACAAAAAGAGAAATCAAACTAATTAGGCTCATTTGGCATGTTAAACTATATTGGAAGCACTGTTAAATAAGTGATGATAAACCTTCTTAGATTATAATGCATGGTGAATGTTATTAATATAAATGTTCCAGAAATTTTATAAAATTCTGATATGTCCTGGTATGATGTTATCAGTCATACTCTAGTTAGTATCTTAAAATGTATGTCACAGAAATAACTAACTTCAGTCATCTGTTCATAGTGTATTCCTGGGAGATGAAACCTCAAACACCACACTCTGCAGTCTGGAGATTTCATCTCTAGAAAGACTCCTTTCAATCCCACTGAAAAGGCCTCAATCAGGTACTGTTAACCAATCTTGTGTCATTAAATTCCAATAGAAGAAGACTCTTGGATTAACACATCACATATAAAGAAAGGATCAAACCGAGAGAGGACTTGCGCTGGTGACTCGAAAACAAAAACTTCTAAAAAATGAAGCAGATGACATCTGAAGGAGACAGCTTTTACAAGATGACTGAACCAGGCCTGTATACCTTTTTCTCTCGTTCTTGGGAAGACAATGCTTTTATCTGCATTTCCCAAACTACTGAAAAAGGGGGAATTTCTCTGACCATTGGATCTGTCATTAGAAACTTCCATCTGTTCATGATAGTGGAAATACCTCGTTTTTCCCTGTAATCAACTGCTAATCACCAACATCCGCTGGCTCATAGAGAAAGTAAGGGAATTCCAAAAAGCATCTACTTCTGTTTCACTGATTACGCTAAAGTCTGATTGTGTGGATCACAACAAACTGTAGAAAATTCTGAAAGAGATAGGAATAACAGACCACCTTACCTGCCTCCTGAGAAACCTGTATGCAGGCGAAGAAGCAACAGTTAGAACTGGACATGGAACAACAGATTTGTTCAAAATTGGGAAAAAGAATATGCCAAGGCTGTCACCCTGCCTATTTAACTTCTGGCAGAGTACATCATGCAAAATGCTGAGCTGGATGAAGCACAAGCTGGAATAAAAATTTCCAGGAGAAATATCAATAACCTCAGATATGCAGATGACACCATCCTTATGGCAGAAAGCAAAAAACTAAAGATGAAGAGCCTCCTGATGAAGGTGGAAGAGGAGAGTGAAAAACCTGACTTGAAACCCAACATTCAAAAAACGAAGATCATAGCATCTGGTCCCATCACTTCTTGGGAAATAGAAGGGGTGAAAGTAGAAACAGTGAAGTTTTATGTTCTTAGGCCCTAAAATCACTGAGGATGGTGACTTCAGCCTTGAAACGAAACATGCTTGCTACTTCAAAGAAATGGTATGACAAAGCTAGACAGCATATTGAAAAGCAGAGGCATCATTCCACTGACAAAGGTCCACATAGTCAAAGCTATGGTTTTTCCAGTAGTCATTTATACATGTGAGTTGAACCATAAAGAAGGCTGGACACAAAAGAATTGATGCTTTTGAACTGCGGTGCTGAAGAAGATTCTTAAGAGTCCCTTGGACAGCAAGGTGATCAAACCAATCAATCCTAAAGAAAATCAACCCTCAATATTCATTGGAAAGATGGATGCTGAAGCTACAATACTTTGGCCACCTGATGCAAAGAGCTGACTCGTTGGAAAAGACCCTGATGCTGGGAAAGACTGAGGGCAAAAGAAGAAGGGGGCAAGAGAGGATGAGGTGACTGGATGGATTAATCACTGATTAAGCAGTGATCTGATTAAATGGACATGAGTTTGAGCAAACTCCAGGAGACAGTGAAGGACAGGGAAGCTTGGCATGCTGCAGTCCATGGGGTCACAGAGGTAGAAATGACTTAATGACTAAACAACAACAAATAACTTATATGTAGAATTTAAAATATGGCACAAATGAACCTATCTATGAAGCAGACACAGACTCACAGATATACAGAACAAACATAGGGTTTCCAAGGGGGAGCAAGGGTCGGGGAGGGAGGGACTAGGGGTCTGGGGTTAGTAGATGCAAACCATTACACATAGAACTGAGAAATAACAACGGTGCACAGAGAACTACATTTAATACTCAGGAATAAACCAAAATGGAAAAGAAAATAAAGAAAAATGTATACATGTATATAACTAAGTCATTTTGCTGAACAGCAGGAATTAACACAACATTGTACATTAACTGTATTTCAATAAAAAATCTCCATGATATAGCACAACACTGTGAATGTATTTATTGCAACCTGTACACCTAAAAATGGCCAACTCTGTGAATTTTTAGTTATGTGTATGTTTAAACAATAAAATAAAACAAAAAACAAAAACTCCAAGAAGTTAGAGCTTGGTCCCTTTTGCACTGTGTCCACACATTACAGACACTCAATTTTTGTCATTGAATAAAGTACAAAAAACGGGTCCATGGATAGGATTTGTGTACCTTTTGAAGTTTCTACCTCTGTCACTCTTAATAAAGGCAGTGAGAAGATAAACTAAATATAACTTAGTAGAAACATGTGTTGATGGTACTATTATTTATAACATCAGTCTGGTTCCTATCCTTGCATGTTAATTCAGAAAATCAAGGAAGAAATCCATCTGTCCCAAACTAAAAGCATAAGAAAAGGGCCTCATCTACTGTTTCAATAAGGAAGCAAGGGGGTGGACTGAAATCTGATAGGTGAAATATTAAGCAAGGTCTCCTGAGAGTCCACCAAGGCAAATTAAGGCTACCATAGCTGACCAGCTTAAAGTGATTTCTTCCACCAGCAAGATCAGCAGATTTATGAGTTTGTAGCCACAGGAAGAGCCCAAAATGTCATACCGAAAAATGTGCTTCAAAACTCACTAATAAATTCCAGTATGTTTTTATTAATACTTTTAGAATTTACTCACAACTTTGCCAGTTGATGCTAGATGATGAATCCAGTGAACTATCATTTCCTGATGCCTACTAAGGGAAGCCTTTGACGGGAGGCTTTAAGTATTCACAAATGCAAAATCATGGTTAAGACAGGTCAGTGTACCAGCTTACAAATATTGGACTAGCTGATATTAATTTATGTATGCTAGACAGATGATCCGTTTTCTGACCTTTTAAAACTCACCTCCTTGGTTGTTACCACTGGAGTTTTGTACAGACTGAGGATTATTCTGGTTTGGAGCTCCTATAAAAACAAAGAAATATCCTGTGAAGAACGGACATCAATATTTAACTAAGAATAGTGGCAATATGTTTCTGTTGGCCTCTGAGGGGTGGGAGGGTAGATTATCCCACAGAAAGTTTAACTTTTGCAATGTTTCTATGAAACAGGCCTTGAAACTATTCATAAATCTAGATCTGTATCACTGGATATTTTAAGATAGAAAACATATAGCTAATGTTAACACTTACCAGGTACTATGTGCCAGCCACTTATAAAATAGTTTCTACATGGGCTATGTGGTTATGAGGAATTTCTACTACTGACAAGTCTGCTCTTCTGAGGACAGTAGACCACCCTTACTATTAACAAGTGCCCAGGTCTTGTACACCAGCACGCCTAACTTCATACAATGGAGAGAAGATGAAGTGGCTTAGGGTTTTCATGTAAAATTGCAAACCTTCTTGATATAATTCTTTGAATTTTAAACTAGTACCTTAAAATTTGGAAAAAGTTTGGAAGAATTCTATGCTCCAGTTAAGCAACTTTTCAAGGTGCATTATTCACCCTGGATCTTTATATAATGGAAGATTAAACACATATATTACATGTGAGGCGAGCAAGTGTATTACTGTGTACTTTTCCAAAGAAGGCGTCCCACACCGCAAAAACCTCAAACCTCCCAAGTACAAAGAAACTAAGCAATAACAATTCTGATGGAACTATCTTTACTCTGTGTGCAAATATCTTCCTCTTGCTGGAACCATAATCCATTTATCCCAAAAGACTATGGTGTGATGATAAAACCTGAAAAAGATCAAGATCAGTAGACCTTGTATTTAGATGTATGTAGCAGCAGGTAGCAAATAATTGACAATATTATGAAGGACTTGCACCATGCCAGGCCTTGTGGGGAGCATGTAACCTACATTAGCCCATCTAATCCCCAAAACAATTCAGTGACAGGAACACAGCTAGGCAGTGACAAAGACCCACAGGAGACCACCCAGATGTGCATCATTGCTCAGTCATGTCTGACTCTTTGAGATCCCATGGACTGTAGCCCACCAGGCACCTCTGTCCATGGAGATTCTCCAGGCAAGAATATTGGAGTGAGTTGCCATATCTTCGGAATCTCCCCAACCCAGGGGTAGAATCCAGGTCTCCTGTTCAGCAGGCAGATTCTTTACCATCTGAGCCACCAGGGAAGCCCATGAATACTGCAGTGGGCAGCCGATCCCTTTCTCCAGGGGATCTTTCCCACCCAGGAATCGAACCAGGGTCTCCTGCCTTGTAGGCAGATTCTGGCCACCCAGCCAGTAAGTGGCAGATTCTCAGATGTGGACCAGGCTATTTGATTCCAAAGCATGTACATGAGAGTGCCAAATGGAAGTGTTGATTTTCTATGATAAACCTGCTTCTGCCCTCATGTTCCCAGTTTTGCATTGCTGGTTGCTCAATCCTAACTCCCGGAAGTTATCTTTTGATTCTTCCTTCTTCTTCACTCCACCATCCATTCCATTAGCAATGATTTCAGTTCCACTCCCCAAGCAGATCTAGACTCTGTCCACTTACTCCCATTACCCCATGTCTTCCTCTTCTGCCCAGATTACAAGAGCCTCCTGTTTTTCTCTCCCTGCTGTTGTCACTCTATGACAGATGCTTTCCTTTTTCCTGGCTTGAGGAAGAAGGCAGAAACTGCCTTCTTTCTAAGCTCTTTCTAGTTTTAAGACCTCTTCAACCTTTTCCAAAAACTACTTATGAAGTACCTACTGTGTGCAAGCACTGAAATAAAGAATGTCTTGGACGATCTAAGTACAAGGAAGCAGATGATTTAAGAGACAAAAAAAGACAAAATATTACAGCAGAATACTTCACTAAATGGAATTAAGTTCATAAAAAATTAATTTCATCTCATATTGGCTATGCATTATGGTGGCTTTTGAAGTCTGGCAATCACTTTATACATAGCTTATTAAAAAGCAGAGACATTACTTTGCAAACAAAGGTCCATCTAGTAAAAGCTATGGTTTATTCACTAGTCATTTATACATGTGAGTCGAACCATAAGGAAGGCTGAACACAAAGATTTGATCCTTTTTAACTGTGGTGCCAGAGAAGATTCTTAAGAGTCCCTTGGACAGCAGGGAGATCAAACCAATCAATCCTAAAGAAAACAACCCTCAATATTCATTGGAAAGATGGATGCTGAAGCTACAATACTTTGGCCACCTGATGCAAAGAGCTGACTCGTTGGAAAAGACCCTGATGCTGGGAAAGACTGAGGGCAAAAGAAGAACATGGTAAGAGAGGATGAGGTGACTGGATGGATTAATCACTGATTAATCAGTGATCTGATTAAATGGACATGAATTTGAGCAAACTCCAGCTGGGCATGCTGCAGTCCGTGGGGTCACAGAGGCAGACATGACTTATGGATCCTAAAATATGGTACAAATGAAACTATCTATGAAGTAGGAAGAGACTCACAGACATACATAAGAGACTTAAGGCTTCCAAGGAAACCGCAAGGTTTACAAGCTAGGGGAAGGAGTAGGAGTCTGGGGTTAGTAGATGCAAACTTTTACACATAGAATTGAGAAACAACAATGGTGCACAGAGGAACTACATTTAATATTCAGGAATAAACCTCAATGGAAAAGAAAATAAAAAAGAATGTATATCGATATAACTAAGTCCATTTTGCTGGACAGCAGAAATTACACAACACTGTAAATTAACTGTACTTTAATAAAAAATTAATAAAATATCTCCATCATATTGCACAACACTGTGAAAGTATGTAATGCCACCTGTACACCAAAAAATGGCTAACATTTGAATTTTATGTTATGTGTATGTTTCAACAAAATAAAACAAAAAACAAACAAAAACTCCAAGAAGTTAGAGCTTGGTCCCCTTTGTACTGTGTCCGCACATTAGAGAAACTCAATCAATATTTGTTGAATGAAAGTAGAAAAAATGGGTCCAGGGACAGGATCTGTGTACCTTTTTAGTTTCTACCTCTGTCACTCTTAATAAAGGCAGTGAGAAGATAAACTAAATATGACTTAGTAGAAACATGTATTTATGGTACTATTATTTATAACATCAGTCTGGTTCCTATCCTTGCATGTTAATTCAGAAAATCAAGGAAGAAATCCATCTGTCCCAAACTAAAAGCACAAGAAAAGGGCCTCGTCTACTGTTTCAAGAAGGAAGCAAGGGGGTGGACTGAAATCTATCTGATAGGTGAAATATAAGCAGGGTCTTCTTAAGAGTCCACCAAGGCAAATTAAGGCTGCCATGGCTGACCAGCTTAAAGTGATTTCTTCCACCAGCAAGATCAGCAGATTTATAAATTCTAGTTCATATCCATAGGCAGAGGCCAAAATGTCACACTGAAAAATGTGCTTCACACCTCACTAAAAACTCCAGTATGTTTTTATTAATACTTTTAGAATTTACTCACAACTTTGCTAGACTGAGAAAGATGATGAATCTAGTGAACTATCATTTCCTGATGCTACTAAGAGAAGCCTTTGATGGGAGGCTTTAAGTATTTACAAATGAACAAATCATAGTTAAGACAGTCAGTGTACCAGCTTACATGTACTGGACTAGCTGATAGTACGTTATGTATGGTAGACAGATAATCTGTTTTCTGACCTTTTAAAACTCACCTCCTTGGTTGTTACCATTGGACTTCTGTTCAGACGGAGGATTATTCTGGTTTGGAGGGCCTGTAAAAACAAAGAAATATTCTGTGAAGAAAGGACATCAAAATTTAACTAAGGATACTGGCAATATGTTTCTTTTGGCCTCTGAGGGGTGGGAGGGTAGATTATTCCACAGGAAGTTCTACTTTTGCCACTGCTTCTATGAAATATGTCTTGAAACTTCATAAATCTAGATCTGTATCACTGGATATTTTAAGACAGAAAACACATAGCTAATGTAACACTTACCAGGTACTTACTATGTGCCAGCCACTGAAAAAATAGTCTGTACAAGGGTCATGTGGTGATGAGAAATTTCTACTACTGACAACTCTGGTCTTCTGAGGAAAGTGGACCACCCTTACTATTAACGAGTGCCCAAGTCTTGTACACCAGGACACCTAACTTCATACGATGGAGAAAAGATGAGCTAGCTTAGGGTTTTCACGTCAAACTGGAAGCCTTCTTGATATAATCCCCTGAATTTTTAACTAGTACCTTAAAATTTGAAAAGAGTTTGGAAGAATTCTATGCTCCAGTTAAGCAACTTTTCAGGGTGCATTATTCACCCTGGATCTTTATATAATGGAAGATTAAACACATATATTACATGGGAGGCGAGCAAGTGTATTATTGTGTAGTTTTCACAAGAAGGCCTCTCCCACCCCAAAAACCTCCCAAGTACAAAGAAAGTAAACAATAACATTTCTGACGGAGCTATCTTTACTCTGAGTACAAATTTCTTCCTCTTGCAAGAACCATAATCCATTTATCCCAAAATTATGGTGTGAAGATGAAACCTGAAAAAGATCAAGGTCAGTAAACTTGTATTTAGATGTATTTAGCAGCAGGTAGCAAACAATTGACAATATTATGAAGGGCTTAAATGCCAGGCCTTGTGGGGAGCATGTAACCTGCATTAGCCCATCTAACCCCCAAAACAATCAGTGACAGGAACACAGCTAGGCAGTGACAAAGACCCCACAGGAGACCACCCAGCGGTGCATAGTTGCTCAGTCATGTCTGACTCTTTGAGATCCCATGGACTGTAGTCCACCAGGCACCTCTGTCCATGGAGATTCTCCAGGCAAGAATACTAGAGTGAGTTGCCATGTCCTCCTCCAGGGGATCTCCCCAAACCAGGGATCGAATCCAGGTCTCCTGCATTGCAGGCGGATTCTTTACCATCTGAGCCACCAGGGAAGCCCATGAATACTGCAGTGGGCAGCCAATCCCTTTCTCCAGGGGATCTTTCCACCCAGGAATCGAACCAGGGTCTCCTGGCTTGCAGGCAGATTCTGGCCACACAGCCAGTAAGTGGCGGATTCTCAGATGTGGACCAGGCTATTTGATTCCAAAGCATGTACATGAGAGTGCCAAATGGAAGTGCTGATTTTCTATGATAAACCTGCTTCTTCCCGCATGTTCCCACTTGTTGCATTGCTGGGTGCTGAATCCTAACTCCCGGAAGTTATCTTTTGATTCCTCCTTCTTCCTCACTCCACCATCCATTCCATTAGCAATGATTTCAGTTCCACTCCCAAGTAGATCTAGACTCTGTCCACTTACCCCCATTACCCCATGTCTTCCTCTTCTGCCCAGATTACAAGAGCCTCCTGTTTTTATTCTCCCTGCGGTTGTAACTCTTATGATGGATGCTTTCCTATTTTCTTTTTTCTGGCTTGAGGAAGAAGGCAGAAACTGTCTTCTTTCTAAGCTCTTTCTGGTTTTAAGATCTCATCACCTATTTTGAAAAAATTCTTATGAAGTACCTACCGTCTGCAAGCACTGAAATAAAGAATGTCTTGGACGATCTAAGTACAAGGAGGCAGGTGGTTTACATGACAAAGAAAGACCCACTATTACAGCAGAATACTTCACTAAATGGAATTAAGTTCATAAAGTACCACACATTCATTAAAGATTAATTTCATCTCCTAACTGGCTACCCATTACGGTGGCTTTAGAAGTCTGGAAATCACTTTATACAAAGCTCATCAAAAGCAGAGACATTACTTTGCAAACAAAGGTCCATCTAATCAAAGCTATGGTTTTTACAGTAGTCATCTATGGATATGAGTCAAAACATAAAGAAGACTTAACAAAGAGAATTGACGCTTTTTATTTATTTATTTTTTAATTGATGCTTTTTAATGTGGTGCCAGAGAAGATTCTGAAGAGTCCCTTGGAGAGCAAGGAGATCAAGCCAGTCAATCATAAAGAAAACAATCCTCAAAGTTCATTAGAAAGACTGATGCTAAAGCTACTATACTTTGGCCACCTGATGCAAAGAGCTGACTCATTGGAAAAGACCCTGATACTAGGAAAGATTGAAGGCAAAAGAAGAAGGGGGCAACAGAAGATGACGGGACTTGATGAATTAATCACGATTAATCAGTGATCTGATTAAATGGACGTGAGTTTGAGCAAACTCTGGGAGACAGTGAAGGACAGGGAAGCTTGGCATGCTGCAATCCACGCGGTCACAGAATCAGACACAACTTAGTAGCTAAACAACAACAAATCACTTATATGTGGAATCTAAAATATGGCACAAATGAACTGATCTTTGAAGTAGAAACAGACTCACAGACATACAGAACAGACAGGGTTTCCAAGGAAACCCCAAGCTTTCCAAGGTGAGGGAGAGACTAGGGGTCTGGGGTTAGTAGATGCAAACTGTTACACATAGAATTGAGAAACAGCAAAGGTGCACAGGGAACTACATTTAATATTCTGGAATAAACCACAATGGAAAAGAAAATAAAAAAGAACGTATACATGTATATAACTAAGTCATTTTGCTGGACAGCAGAAATTACACAACATTGTAATATAACTGTAGTTCAGTAAAAAGTTAATAAAAAATCTCCATGACATTGCACAACATTGTGAATGTATTTAATGCCACCTGTACACCTAAAAATGCCTAACATTGTGAATTTTAAGTTATGTGTACGTTTGGTTTGAACAATAAAATAACACAAAAAACAAACAAAAACACCAAGACGTCAGAGCTTGGTCCCTTTCGTACTGTGTCCACACATTAGAGACACTCAATCAATATTTGTTGAAGAAAAGTACAAAAGATGGGTCCAGGGATAGGATTTGTGTACCTTTTTAAGTTTTTACCTCTGTCACTCTTAATAAAGGCAGTGAAAAGATAAACTAAATATTAGTTAGAAGAAACATGTGTTGATAGTACTATTACTTATAACATTTAGTCTGGTTCCTATCCTTCCATGTTAATTCAGAAAATCAAGGAAGAAATCCATCTGTCCCAAACTAAAAGCATAAGAAAAAAGTCTCATCTACTGTTTCAAGAAGGAAGCAAAGGGGTGGGTTGAAATCTATCTGATGGGTGAAATATAAGCAGGGTCTCCTTAGAGTCCACCAAGGCAAATTAAGGCTGCCATGGCTGACCAGCTTAAAGTGATTTCTTCCACCAGCAAGATCAGCAGATTTATGAATTCTAGTTCATATTCATAGGCAGAGCATAAAAGGTCATACCTAAAAATGTGCTTCAAAATTCAGTAATAAATTCCAGAATGTTTTTATGAATAGTTTTAGAATTTACACACAACTTTGCTAGGCTGAAAAGATGGTGAATCCAGTGAGCTACCATTTCCTGATGCCTACTAAGGGAAGCCTTTGTTGGGAGGCTTTAAGTACTCACAAATGCACAAATCATGGTTAAGACAGGTCAGTGTACCAGCTTACATGTACTTGACTGGCTTATACTACTTTATGTATGCCAGACAGATAATTCGTTTTCTGACCTTTTAAAACTCACCTCCTTGGTTGTTACCATTGGAGTTTTGTTCAGACTTAGGATCATTCTGGTTTGCAGTTCCTATAAAAACAAAGAAATATTCTGTGAACAACAGACATCAATATTTAACTAAGGATACTGGTAATACGTTTCTTTCAGCCTCTGAAGGGTGGGAGGGTAGATTTTTCCACAGGAAGTTCTACTTTTGCCACTGCTTCTATGAAACATGCCTTGAAACTGTTCATAAATCTTGATCTCTTTACTGGATTATTTAAGACAGAAAACATATAGCTAATGTAATACTTAACAGGTACTTACTATGTCTCAGCCACTGATAAAACAGTTTGTACATGGGCCATGTGGTTATGAGGAGTTTCTACCACTGACAGCTCTGCTATTCTGAGGACAGTGGACCACCCTTACTATTAACAAGTGCACAGGTCTTGTATACCAACACGCCTAACTTCATACAATGGAAGAGAAGATGAAGTGGCTTAGGGTTTTCACTTAAAATTGCAAGCCTTCTTGATATAATCTTTGAATTTTTAATTAGTACCTTAAAATTTGGAAAGAGCTTTGAAGAATTCTATGCTCCAATTAAGCAACTTTTCAGGGTGCATTATTCACCCTGGATCTTTATATAATAGAACATTAAACAATATATTACATGGGAGGCGAGCAAGTGTATTATTGTGTACTTTGTGAAAGGAAGGGCTCCCCCCAAAAGGAACCTTTCCAGTACGAAGAAAGTAAGCAACAACAATTCTGATGGAGCGGTCTTTACTGTGTGAGAAAATTTCTTTCTCATGCTGGAACCACAGTACCTTCATCCCAGAAAGCTACGGTGTGAAGATTAAACCTGGAAAAGCTCAATGGCAGTCGACTGTGTATTTAGATGTACTTAGCAGCAGGTACCCAATAACTGCCAATATTATGAAGAGCTTAAACATGCCAGGCTTTGTTGGGGAGCATGTAACCTGCATCAACTCATCTAACATCCTAAGATATCTGCGACAAGAACACAGCTAAGCAGTGACAGAAGACCCATGGGAGACCGACAGGAGACCCACAGGAGACCACCCAGCTGTGCATAGATGCTCAGTCATGTCTGACTCTTTGAGATCCCATGGACTGTAGCCCACCAGGCACCTCTGTCCATGGAGATTCTCCAGGCAAGAATATTGAAGTGAGTTGCCAAGTCCTCCTCCAAGGGATCTTCCCAAACCAGGGATCGAATCCAGGTCTCCTGCACTGCAGGTAGAATCTTTACCATCTGAGCCACCAGGGAAGCCCATGAATACTGCAGTGGGTAGCCAATCCTTTTCTCCAGGGGATCTTTCCCACCCAGGAATCGACCCAGGGTCTCCTGGCTTGCAGGCAGATTCTGGCCACCCAGCCAGTAAACGGTGGATTCTCAGATGTGGACCAGGCTGTTTGATTCCAAAGCATGTACATGAGAGTGCCAAATGGAAGTGCTGATTTTCTACGATAAACCTGCTTCTGCCTGCATGTTCCCACTTGTTGCATTGCTGGGTGCTGAATCCTAACTCCTGGAAGTTATCTTTTGATTCTTCCTTCTTCCTCACTCCACCATCCATTCCATTAGCAATGATTTCAGTTCCACTCCCCAAGTAGATCTAGACTCTACCCACTTATCCCCATTACCCCTTCTCTTCCTCTTTTGCCCAGATTACAAGAGCCTCCTGTTTTTCTCTCCCTGATGTTGTCACTCTTATGACGGATGCTTTCCTTTTTTCTTTTTTCTGGCTTGAGGAAGAAGGCAGAAATTTCCTTAAATAAAGCACTGAAATAAAGAATGTCTTGGACGTTCTAAGTACAAGGAGGCGGGTATTTTACATGACAAAAAAAGACCAAGTATTACAGCAGAATACTTCACTAAATGGAGTTAAGTTTATAAAGTAGCACAGATTTCATTAAAGATTAATTTCATTTCCTAATTGGCTACCCATTATGATGGCTTTGGAAGTCTGGCAATCACTATATAGATAGCATATTAAAAAGCAGAGGTTTACTTTGCAAAGATTCATCTAGCCAAAGCTATGGTTTTCCAATAGTCATATACAGATGTCAGTGGGACCATAAAGAATACAAAAGAATTGATGCTTTTGAGTGTGTTGCTGGAGAAGATTCTTAAGAGTCCCTTGGACACCAAGGAGATCAAGCCAGTCAATCCTAAAGAAAACAACCCTTAATATTCATTGGAAAGACATGCTGAAGCTACAATAGTTTGGTCACCTGCAGCAAAGAGCTGACTCACTGGAAAAGACCCTGATGCTGGGAAAGGGAGAAAGAAGAAGGGGGCAACAGAGGAAGAGTTGACTGGATGGATTAATCACTGATTAATCAGTGATCTGATTAAATGGACATGAATTTCAGCAAACTCCAGGAGACAGTGAAGGACAGGGAAACTTGGCATGCTGCATCCGTGGGGTCACAGAGGCGGAAATAACTTACTGATTAAACAAGAACAAATCACTCGTATGTCAATCCTAAAATACGGTACAAATGAACCTATCTATGAAGTAGGAAGAGACTCACAGACATACAGAACAGACTCAGGGTTTCCAAGGAAACCCCAAGATTTCTAAGGGGAGGGAAGGACTAGGACTCTGGGGTGAGTAGATGCAAACCATTACATATAGAACTGAGAAATAACAATGGTGCACAGGGAACTACATTTAATAATCAGGAATAAACCACAATGGAAAAGAAAATAAAAAAGAATGCGTACATGTATATAACGAAGTTATTTTGCTGGATAGCAGAAATTAACACAACATTGTAAATTAACTGTACTTCAATAAAAAATTAACAAAAAATATCCATGATATTGCACAACATTGTGAAAGTATATAATGTCACCTATACACCTAAAAATGACTAACATTGTGAAATTTATGTTATGTGTATGTTTAAATAACAAAATAAAACTAAAAACAAACAAAAACTCCAAGAAGTTAGACCTCAGTCCCTTTTGTATTGTGTCCACACATTAGAGACATTCTATTGATATTTGTTGAATAAAAGTAGAAAATGGGACCAGGGTCAGGATCTGTGTACCTTTTTAAATTTCTACCTCTGTCACTCTTAAAAAAGGTGGTGAGAAATAAACTAAACATGACTTAGTAGAAACATGTGTTGATGGTACAATTATTTATAACATCAGTTTGATTCCTATCCTTCCATGTTAATTCAGAAAATCAAGGAAGAAATCCATCTGTCCCAAACTAAAAGCACAAGAAAAGGGCCTCATCTACTGTTTCAATAAGGAAGCAAAGGGGTGGGTTGAAATCTATCGATTGGGTGAAATATAAGCAGGGTCTCCTTAGAGTCCACCAAGGCAAGTTAAGCCTGCCATGGCTGACCAGCTTAAAGTGATTTCTTCTACCAGCAAGATCAGCAGATTTATGAATTCTAGTTCATATCCATAGGCCCAAAATGTCACACCGAAAAATGTGCTTCACCTCACTAATAAACTCCAGTATGTTTTTATTAATACTTTTAGAATTTACTCACAACTTTGCTAGACTGAGAAAGATGATGAATCTAGTGAACTATCATTTCCTGATGCCTACTAAGGGAAGCCTTTGATGGGAGGCTTTAAGTATTTACAAATGAACAAATCATAGTTAAGACAGTCAGTGTACCAGCTTACATGTACTGGACTAGCTGATCTTACTTTATGTATGCTAGACAGATAATCTGTTTTCTGACCTTTTTAAACTCACCTCCTTGGTTGTTACCATTGGAGTTTTGTACAGGCTGAGGATTGTTCTGGCCTGGAGCTCCTATAAAAACAAAGAAACATTCTGTGAAGAAAGGACATCAATATTTAACTAAGGATACTGGCAATATGTTTCTTTTGGCCTCTGAGGGGTGGGAGGGTAGATTATTCCACAGGAAGTTCTACTTTTGCCACTGCTTCTATGAAACATGCCTTGAAACTATTCATAAATCTAGATCTGTATCACTGGATATTTTAAGACAGAAACATATAGCTAATGTAACACTTACCAGGTACTTACTATGTGCCAGCCACTGAAAGAACAGTTTGTACATGGGTCATGTGGTGATGAGAAATTTCTACTACTGACAACTCTGGTCTTCTGAGGAAAGTGGACCACCCTTACTATTAATGAGTGCCCAGGTCTTGTATAGCACTCTGTCTAACTTCATACGATGGAGAAAAGATGAAGTGGCTTAGGGTTTTCACATCAAACTGGAAGCCTTCTTGATATAATTCCTTGAATTTTTAACTAGTACCTTAAAATCTGGGAAGAGTTTGGAATAATTGTGTACTCCAGTTAAGCAACTTTTTAGGGTGCATTATTCACCCTGAACCTTTATATAATGGAAGATTAAACATATATATTACATAGGAGGCGAGCAAGTGTATTATTGCGTAGTTTTCACAAGAAGGCCTCCCCCACCCCAAAAACCTAAGTACAAGAAAAATAAGCAATAACAATTCTGACGGAGCTGTCTTTACTCTGTGTGCAAATTTCTTCCCCTTGCTAGAACCATAATTCATTTATCCCAAAGCTATGGTGTGAAGATTAAACCTGAAAAAGATCAAGGTCAGTAGACTTGTATTTAGATGTATTTAGCAGAAGGTACCAAATAACTGCCAATATTATGAAGGGCTTAAACATGCCAGGCCTTGTGGGGAGCATGTAACCTGCATTAGCCCATCTACTACCAAAATAATTCAGTGACAGGAACACAGCTAGGCAGTGACAAACACCCACAGGAGACCACCCAGCTGTGCATAGATGCTCAGTTATGTCTGACTCTCTGCGATCCCATGGACTGTAGCCCACCAGGCACCTCTGTCCATGGAGATTCTCCAGGAAAGAATACTAGAGTGAGTTGCCATGTCCTCCTCCAGGGGATCTCCCCAAACCAGGGATCGAATCCAGGTCTCCTGCATTGCAGGCGGATTATTTACCATCTGAGCCACCAGGGAAGCCCATGAATACTGCAGTGGGCAGCCAATCCCTTTCTCCAGGGGATCTTTCCCACCCAGGAATCAAACCAGGGTCTCCTGGCTTGCAGGCAGATTCTGGCCACCCAGCCAGTAAGTGGCGGATTCTCAAATGTGGACCAGGCTGTTTGATTCCAAAGCATGTACATGAGCGTGCCAAATGGAAGTGCTGATTTTCTACAATAAACCTGCTTCTGCCCACATGTTCCCAGGTGTTGCATTGCTGGTTGCTCAACCCTAACACCCGGAAGTTATCTTTTGATTCGTCCTTCTTCCTCACTCCACCATCCAATCCATTAGCAATGATTTCAGTTCCACTCCCCAAGCAGATCTAGACTCCACCCACTTATCCCCATTACCCCATGTCTTCCTCTTGCCCAGATTACAAGAGCCTTCTGTTTTTCTCTCCCTGATGTTGTCACTCTTATGACGGTTGCTTTCATTTTTTCTTCTGGCTTGAGGAAGAAGGCAGAAACTGCCTTCTTTCTAAGCTCTTTCTAGTTTTAAGACCTCTTCAACCTTTTCCAAAAACTACTGATGAAGTACCTACTGTGTGCAAGCACTGAAATAAAGAATGTCTTGGACGATCTAAGTACAAGGAGGTGGATGCTTTAACTGACAAAAAAAGACAAGGTATTACAGCAAAATACTACACTAAATGGAATTAAGTTTAGTTCATAAAGAGGCACAGATTCATTAAAAATTTATTTCATGTCCTCATTGGCTATGTATTATGGTGGCTTTTGAAGTCTGGTAATCACTTTATACATAGCTTATTAAAAAGCAGAGACATTACTTTGCAAACAAAGGTCCATCTAGCAAAAGCTATGGTTTATTCACTAGTCATTTATACATGTGAGTCGAACCATAAAGAAGGCTGAACACAAAGAATTGATCCTTTTGAACTGTGGTGCCAGAGAAGATTCTTAAGAGTCCTTTGGACACCAAGGAGATCAAACCAGTCAATCCTAAAGAAAACAACCCTCAATATTCATTGGAAGGATGTATGCTGAAGCTACAATACTCTGGCCACAAGATGTAAAGAGCTGACTCGTTGGAAAATAACCTGATGCTGGGAAAGACTGAGGGCAAAAGAAGAAGGGGCAACAGAGGATGTGGTGACTGGATGGATTAATCACTGATTAAGCAGTGATCTGATTAAATGGACATGAATTTCAGCAAACTCCAGGAGACAGCAAAGGACAGGGAAGCTAGGCATGCTGCAGTCCGTGGGGTAACAGAGTCAGACATGACTTAGTGACTAACCAACAACAAATCACTTACATGTGGAATCTAAAATGCGGAACAAATGAACCTATCTATGAAGTAGAAACAGACTCACAGATACACAGAACAGACTTAGGTTTCCAAGGGGGAGCAAAAGTCGGGGAGGGAGGGACTAGAAGTCTGGGGTTAGTAGATGCAAACTATTACATATAGAACTGAGAAATAACAACAGTGTACAGGGAACTACATTAAATATTCAGAAATAAACCACAACGGAAAAGAAAATAAAAAAGAATGTATACATATATATAACTAAGTCATTTTGCTGGACAGCAGAAATACAACATTGTAAATAAACTATACTTCAATAAAAAATTAATAAAAAATATCCATGATATTACACAACACTGTGAAAGTATGTAATGTCACCTGTACATCTAAAAATGACTAACATTGTGAATTTATATTATGTGAATGTTTCAACAACAAAATAAAACTAAAAACAAACAAAAACTCCAAGAACTTAGAGCTTGGTCCCTTTTGTACTGTGTCCACACATTAGAGACACTCAATTAATATTTGTTGAATAAAAGTAGAAAAAATGGGACCAGGGACAGGATCTGTGTACCTTTTTAAGTTTCTACCTTTGTCACTCTTAAAGAAGGCAGTGAGAAGATAAACTAAATATTCTTAGAAGAAACATGTGTTGATGGTACTATTATTTATAACATCAGTCTGGTTCCTATCCTTCCATGTTAATTCAGAAAATCAAGGAAGAAATCCATCTGTCCCAAACTAAAAGCACAAGAAAAGGGCCTCATCTACTGTTTCAATAAGGAAGCAAAGGGGTGGGTTGAAATCTATTGATTGGGTGAAATATAAGCAGGGTCTCCTTAGAGTCCACCAAGGCAAGTTAAGCCTGCCATGGCTGACCAGCTTAAAGTGATTTCTTCTACCAGCAAGATTAGCAGATTTACGAATTCTAGTTCATATCCATAGGCCCAAAATGTCACACCGAAAAATGTGCTTCACCTCACTAATAAACTCCAGTATGTTTTTATTAATACTTTTAGAATTTACTCAACTTTGCTAGACTGAGAAAGATGATGAATCTAGTGAACTATCATTTCCTGATGCTACTAAGAGAAGCCTTTGATGGGAGGCTTTAAGTATTTACAAATGAACAAATCATAGTTAAGACAGTCAGTGTACCAGCTTACATGTACTGGACTAGCTGATCTTACTTTATGTATGCTAGACAGATAATCTGTTTTCTGACCTTTTTAAACTCACCTCCTTGGTTGTTACCATTGGAGTTTTGTACAGGCTGAGGATTATTCTGGCCTGGAGCTCCTATAAAAACAAAGAAACATTCTGTGAAGAAAGGACATCAATATTTAACTAAGGATACTGGCAATATGTTTCTTTTGGCTTCTGAGGGGTGGGAGGGTAGATTATTCCACAGGAAGTTCTACTTTTGCCACTGCTTCTATGAAACATGCCTTGAAACTATTCATAAATCTAGATCTGTATCACTGGATATTTTAAGACAGAAACATATAGCTAATGTAACACTTACCAGGTACTTACTATGTGCCAGCCACTGAAAGAACAGTTTGTACATGGGTCATGTGGTGATGAGAAATTTCTACTACTGACAACTCTGGTCTTCTGAGGAAAGTGGACCACCCTTACTATTAATGAGTGCCCAGGTCTTGTATAGCACTCTGTCTAACTTCATATGATGGAGAAAAGATGAAGTAGCTTAGGGTTTTCACATCAAACTGGAAGCCTTCTTGATATAATTCCTTGAATTTTTAACTAGTACCTTAAAATCTGGGAAGAGTTTGGAATAATTCTGTACTCCAGTTAAGCAACTTTTCAGGGTGCATTATTTACCCTGAACCTTTATATAATGGAAGATTAAACACATATATTACACGGGAGGCGAAAGTGTATTATTGTGAATTTTTCCCAAAGAAGGCCTCTCCCACCCCCAAAAATGTCCCAAGTACAAAGAATGTAAACAATAACATTTCTGACAGAGATATCTTTAATCTGAGTGCAAATTTCTTCCTCTTGTTAGAACTATAATCTGTTAATCCCAAAGCTATGGTGTGAAGACTAAATCTAAAAGAGATCAAGTCAGTAGATTATGTATTTAAATGTATTTAGCAGCAGGTAGCAAATAATTGACAATATTATTTACGGTTTACTCCATGCCAGGCCTGTGGGGAGCATGTAGCTTGCATTAGCCCATCTAACCCCCAAAACAATTCAGTCACAGGAACACAACTAGGCAGTGACAAAACCCACAGAAAACCCACAGGAGACCACTCATCTGTGCATCATTGCTCAGTCATGTCTGACTCTTTGTGATCCCATAGACTGTAGCCCACCAGGCACCTTTGTCCATGGAGATTCTCCAGGCAAGAATACTAGAGTGAGTTGCCATGTCCTCCTCCAGGGGATCTCCCCAAACCAGGGATCGAATCCAGGTCTCCTGCATTGCAGGCGGATTCTTTACCATCTGAGCCACCAGGGAAGCCCATGAATACTGCAGTGGGTAGCTGATCCCTTTCTCTAAGGGATCTTTCCCACCCAGGAATCGAACCAGGGTCTCCTGGCTTGCAGGCAGATTCTGGCCACCCAGCCAGTAAGTGGCGGATTCTCAGATGTGGACCAGGCTGTTTGATTCCAAAGCATGTACATGAGTGTTCCAAATGGAAGTGCTGATTTTCTACGATAAACCTGCTTTTTCCCGCATGTTCCCACTTGTTGCATTGCTGGTTGCTGAATCCTAACTCCCAGAAGTTATCTTTTGATTCATCCTTCTTCCACACTCCACCATCCAATCCATTAGCAATGATATCAGTTCCACTCCCCAAGCAGATCTAGACTCTACCCACTTATCCCCATTACCCCATGTCTTCCTGTTGCCCAGATTACAAGAGCCTCCTGTTTTTCTCTCCCTGCTGTTGTCACCCTTATGACAGAGGCTTTCCTGTTTTCTTTTTTCTGGCTTGAGGAAGAAGGCAAAAACTGCCTTCTTTTTCTGGTTTTAAGACCTCTTCACCTTTTTAAAAAAATACTGATGAAGTACCTACTGTGTGCAAGCACTGAAATAAAGAATGTCTTGGATGATCTAAGTGCAAGGAGGCGGGTGCTTTACTGACAAAAAAAAGACCAAGTATTACAGCAGAATACTTCACTAAATGGAATTAAGTTCATAAAGTACCACACATTCATTAAAGATTAATTTCATCTCCTAACTGGCTACCCATTATGGTGGCTTTAGAAGTCTGGAAATCACTTTATACATAGCTCATCAAAAAGCAGAGACATTACTTTGCAAACAAAGGTCCATCTAGTCAAAGCTAAGGTTTTTACACTAGTCATCTACGGATGTGAGTCGAACCATAAAGACTTAACACAAAGAATTGATGCTTTTTAACGTGCCGGAGAAGTTTCTTAAGAGTCTCTTAGATAGCAAGGAGATAAAGCTAGTAAATCCTAAAGAAAACAACCTCAATGTTCATTAGAAAGACTGATGCTGAAGCTACAATACTTTGGCCACCTGATGCAAAGAGCTGACTCATTGGAAAAGACCCTGATACTAGGAAAGATTGAAGGCAAAAGAAGAAGGGGGCAACAGAAGATGACGGGACTTGATGGATTAATCACTGATTAATCAGTGATCTGATTAAATGGACATGAGTTTGAGCAAACTCTGGGAGACAGTGAAGGACAGGGAAGCTTGGCATGCTGCAATCCACGCGGTCACAGAATCAGACACAACTTAGTAGCTAAACAACAACAAATCACTTATATGTGGAATCTAAAATATGGCACAAATGAACCGATCTTTGAAGTAGAAACAGACTCACAGACATACAGAACAGACTTAGGGTTTCCAAGGAAACCCCAAGCTTTCTAAGGGGAGGGAGAGACTAGGAGTGTGGGGTTAGTAGATGCAAACTGTTACACATAGAATTGAGAAACAGCAAAGGTGCACAGGGAACTACATTTAATATTCTGGAATAAACCACAATGGAAAAGAAAATAAAAAAGAACGTATACATGTATATAACTAAGTCATTTTGCTGGACAGCAGAAATTACACAACATTGTAATATAACTGTAGTTCAGTAAAAAGTTAATAAAAAATCTCCATGACATTGCACAACATTGTGAATGTATTTAATGCCACCTGTACACCTAAAAATGCCTAACATTGTGAATTTTAAGTTATGTGTACGTTTGGTTTGAACAATAAAATAACACAAAAAAACAAACAAAAACACCAAGACGTCAGAGCTTGGTCCCTTTCGTACTGTGTCCACACATTAGAGACACTCAATCAGTATTTGTTGAAGAAAAGTACAAAAGATGGGTCCAGGGATAGGATTTGTGTACCTTTTTAAGTTTTTACCTCTGTCACTCTTAATAAAGGCAGTGAAAAGATAAACTAAATATTAGTTAGAAGAAACATGTGTTGATAGTACTATTACTTGTAACATTTAGTCTGGTTCCTATCCTTCCATGTTAATTCAGAAAATCAAGGAAGAAATCCATCTGTCCCAAACTAAAAGCATAAGAAAAAAGTCTCATCTACTGTTTCAAGAAGGAAGCAAAGGGGTGGGTTGAAATCTATCTGATGGGTGAAATATAAGCAGGGTCTCCTTAGAGTCCACCAAGGCAAATTAAGGCTGCCATGGCTGACCAGCTTAAAGTGATTTCTTCCACCAGCAAGATCAGCAGATTTATGAATTCTAGTTCATATTCATAGGCAGAGCATAAAAGGTCATACCTAAAAATGTGCTTCAAAATTCAGTAATAAATTCCAGAATGTTTTTATGAATAGTTTTAGAATTTACACACAACTTTGCTAGGCTGAAAAGATGGTGAATCCAGTGAGCTACCATTTCCTGATGCCTACTAAGGGAAGCCTTTGTTGGGAGGCTTTAAGTACTCACAAATGCACAAATCATGGTTAAGACAGGTCAGTGTACCAGCTTACATGTACTTGACTGGCTTATACTACTTTATGTATGCCAGACAGATAATTCGTTTTCTGACCTTTTAAAACTCACCTCCTTGGTTGTTACCATTGGAGTTTTGTTCAGACTTAGGATCATTCTGGTTTGCAGTTCCTATAAAAACAAAGAAATATTCTGTGAACAACAGACATCAATATTTAACTAAGGATACTGGTAATACGTTTCTTTCAGCCTCTGAGGGGTGGGAGGGTAGATTTTTCCACAGGAAGTTCTACTTTTGCCACTGCTTCTATGAAACATGCCTTGAAACTGTTCATAAATCTTGATCTCTCTACTGGATTATTTAAGACAGAAAACATATAGCTAATGTAATACTTAACAGGTACTTACTATGTCTCAGCCACTGATAAAACAGTTTGTACATGGGCCATGTGGTTATGAGGAGTTTCTACCACTGACAGCTCTGCTATTCTGAGGACAGTGGACCACCCTTACTATTAACAAGTGCACAGGTCTTGTACACCAACACGCCTAACTTCATACAATGGAAGAGAAGATGAAGTGGCTTAGGGTTTTCACTTAAAATTGCAAGCCTTCTTGATATAATCTTTGAATTTTTAATTAGTACCTTAAAATTTGGAAAGAGCTTTGAAGAATTCTATGCTCCAATTAAGCAACTTTTCAGGGTGCATTATTCACCCTGGATCTTTATATAATAGAACATTAAACAATATATTACATGGGAGGCGAGCAAGTGTATTATTATGTACTTTGTGAAAGGAAGGGCTCCCCCAAAAAAGAACCTTTCAAGTATGAAGAAAGTAAGCAATAACAATTCTGATGGAGCGATCTTTACTATGTGAGAAAATTTCTTCCTCTTGCTGGAACCATAGTACCTTAATCCCAGAAGGCTATGGTGTGAAGAATAAACCGGAAAAAGATCAACACCAGTCGACTATGTATTTAGATGTATTTAGCAGCAGGTGCCAAATAACTGCCAGTATTATGAAGGGCTTAAACATGCCAGGCCTTGTGGGGAGCATGTAACCTGCATCAACTCATCTAATCCCCAAAGAATTCTGAGACAGGAACACAGCTAAGCAACGACAGAAGACCCACAGGAGACCGAGAGGAGACCAACACGAGACCCACAGGACACCACCCAGCTGTGCATAGATGCTCAGTCATGTCTGACTCTCTGCGATCCCATGGACTGTAGCCCACCAGGCACCTCTGTCCATGGAGATTCTCCAGGCAAGAATATTGGAGTGAGTTGCCATGTCCTCCTCCAGGGCATCTCCCCAACCCAGCGGTACAATCCAGGTCTCCTGTTCGGCAGGCGGATTCTTTACCATCTGAGCCACCAGGGAAGCCCATGAATACTGCAGTGGGCAGCCAATCCCTTTCTCCAGGGGATCTTTCCCACCCAGGAATCGAACCAGGGTCTCCTGCTTTGCAGGCAGATTCTGGCCACCCAGCCAGTAAGTGGTGGATTCTCAGATGTGGACCAGGCTGTTTGATTCCAAAGCATATACATGAGCGTGCCAAATGGAAGTGCTGATTTTCTACAATAAACCTGCTTCTGCCCACATGTTCCCAGGTGTTGCATTGCTGGTTGCTCAACCCTAACACCCAGAAGTTATCTTTTGATTCTTCCTTCTTCCTCACTCAACCATCCAATCCATTAGCAATGATATCAGTTCCACTCCCCAAGCAGATCTAGACTCCACCCACTTATCCCCATTACCCCATGTCTTCCTGTTGCCCAGATTACAAGAGCCTCCTGTTTTTCTCTCCCTGCTGTTGTATCTCTTATGACAGATGCTTTCCTATTTTCTTTTTTCTGGCTTGAGGAAGAAGGCAGAAACTGCCTTCTTTCTAAGCTCTTTCTAGTTTTATGACTTCTTCACCTTTTTTCAAAAAATACTGATGCAGTACCTACTGTGTGCAAGCACTGAAATAAAGAATGTCTCGGATGATCTAAGTACAAGGAGGCAGGTGCTTTACATGACAAAACAATACCAAGTGTTACAGCAGAATACTTCACTAAATGGGATTAAGTTAAGTTCATAAGTGGGACAGATTCACCAAAGATTAATTTCACCTCCTAACCGGCTACCCATTATGGTGGCTTTTGAAGTCTGGCAATCACTATATAGATACCATATTAAAAAGCAGAGATTTACTTTGCAAACAAACGGTCATGTAGTCAAGGCTATGGTCTTCAGTAGTCACGTACGGATGTCAGTGGGACCATAAAGAACACAGAAGAATTGATGCTTTTGAATGTGGTGCCAGAGAAGATTCTTAAGAGTCCTTTGACAGCAAGGAGATCAAACTAGTCAATCCTAAAGAAAATCAACCTTCAATATTCATTGGAAAGACTGATGCTGAAGCTACAATACTTTGGCCAACTGATGCTAAGAGCTGACTCACTGGAAAAGACCCTGATGCTGCCAAAGATTGAGGGCAAGAGAAGAAGACGGCAACAGAGATGAGGTGACTGGATGGATTAATCACTGATTAGTCAGTGATCTGATTAAATGGACATGAGTTTGAGCAAACTCTGGGAGACAGTGAAGGACAGGGAAGCTTGGCATGCTGGAGTCCATGGGGTCACAGAGGCAAACACGACTTAGTGACTAAACAACAACAAATCACTTATATATGGAATCTAAAATACGGCACAAATGAACCTATCTATGAAGTAGGAAGAGACTCACAGACATACAGAACAGACTTAGGGTTTCCAAGCGAGGGAGGGACTAGGAGTATGGGGTTAGTAGATGCAAACTGTTACACATAGAATTGAGAAACAACAAAGGTGCACATGGAACTACATTTAATATTCAGGAAGAAACCACAATGGAAAAGAAAATAAAAAATAATGTATACATGTATATACCTAAGTCATATTGCTGGACAGAAGAAATTAACACAAAATTGCAAATTAACTGTACTTTAATAAAATATTAATAAAAAATCTCCATGATATTGCACAATATTGTGAATATATTTATGCCACCCATACACTTAAAAAAGGCTAACATTGTGAATTTTAAGTTATGTGTATGTTTGAACAATAAAATAAAAACAAAAAGAAAAATTCCAAGAAGTCAGAGCTTGGTCCCTTTTGGACTGTGTCCACACATTAGAAATAATCCATAAATATTTGTTGAATAAAATAGAAAAAATGGGCCCAGGGATAGGATTTGTATACCTTTTTAAGTTTCTACCTCTGTCACTCTTAATAAAGGCAGTGAGAAGATAAACTAAATATGACTTAGAAGAAACATGCGTTGATAGTACTCTTATTTATAACATTAACTTGGTTCCTATCCTTCCATGTTAATTCAGAAAATCAAGGAAGAAATCCATCTGTCCCAAACTAAAAGCACAAGAAAAAAGTCTCATCTACTGTTTCAAGAAGGAAGCAATGGGGTGGACTGAAATCTAACTGATGGGTGAAATATAAGCAGGATCTCCTTAGAGTCCACCAAGGCAAAATAAGGCTGCCATGGCTGACCAGCTTAAAGTGATTTTTTCCACCAGCAAGATTAGCAGATTTATGAATTCTAGTTCATGTCCATAGGCAGAGCCCAAAATGTCACACCTAAAAATGTGCTTCAAAACTCAGTAATGAATTCCAGCATTTTTTAATTAACAGTTCTAGAATTTACTGACAACTTTGCTAAACTGAGAAAGATGATGAATCCAGTGAGCTATCATTTCCTGATGCCTGCTAAAGGAAGTCTTTGATGGTAGGCTTTAAGTAATCACAAATGCACAAATCATGGTTAAGACAGGTCAGTGTACCAGCTTACATGTACTGGACTAGCTGATATTACTTTATGTATGGTAGACAGATAATCCGTTTTCTGACCTCTTAAAACTCACCTCCTTGGTCACTGTCGGAGCTTTCTACAGACATAGGATTCTTCTGGCTTGGAGTCCCTATAAAAACAAAGAAATACCTGTGAACAACGGACATCAATATTTAACCAAGAATACTGGCAATATGTTTCATTCAGCCTCTGAGGGGTGGGAGGGTAGATTTTTCCACAGGAAGTTCTACTTTTGCCACTGCTTCTATGAAACATGCCTTGAAACTGTTCATAAATCTAGATCTGTATCACTGGATATTTTAAGACAGAAAACATATAGCTAATGTAACACTTACCAGGTACTTACTATGTGCCAGCCACTGATAAAATAGTTTGTACATTGGTCATGTGGTGATGAGAAATTTCTACTACTGACAACTCTGGTCTTCTGAGGAAAGTGGACCACCCTTACTATTAACGAGTGCCCAGGTCTTGTATACCACCACGCCTAACTTCATACAATGGAGAGAAGATGAAGTGGCTTAGGGTTTTCACATAAAATTGCAAGCCTTCTTGATATAATTCTTTTAATTTTTAAGTAGTACCTTAAAATTTGGAAAAAGTTTGGAAGAATTCTATGCTCCAGTTAAGCAACTTTTCACGGTATATTTTTCACCCTGGATCTTTGTATAATGGAAGATTAAACACATATATTACATGGGAGGCGAGCAAGTGTATTATTGTGTACTTTTCCAAGGAATGCGTCCCCCACCCCAAAAACCTCCCAAGTATAAAGAAAGTATGCAATAACAATTCTGATGGAGCTATCTTTACTATGTGTGCAAATTTCTTTCTCTTGCTGGAAACATAATCCATTTATCCCAAAAGACTATGGTATGAAGATTAAACCTGAAAAAGATCAAGGTCAGTAGACTATGTATTTAGATGTATTTAGCAGCAGGTAGCAAATAATTGACAATATCATGAAGGACTTACTACATGCCACGCCTTGTGGGGAGTACATAACCTGCATCAGCCCATCTACCCCCAAAACAATTCTGTGATAGAAACACTGCTAGGCAGTGACAGAAGACCCACAGGAGACCCACAGGAGACCACCCAGCTGTGTTCAGCTGCTCCTTTAGGTCTGACTCTTTGTGATCCCATAGACTGTAACCCACCAGGCACCTCTGTCCATGGAGATTCTCCAGGCATGAATATTGGAGTGAGCTGCCATGTCCTCCTCCGGGGAATCTTCCCCTGGGTCAAATCCAGGTCTCCTGTTCTGGAGGCAGATTCTTTACCATCTGAGCCACCAGGGAAGCCCATGAATACTGCAGTGGGTAGCCGATCCCTTTCTCCAGGGGATCTTTCCCACCCAGGAATCGAACCAGGGTCTCCTGCTTTGCACAGATTCTGGCCACCCAGCCAGTAAGTGGCGGATTCTCAGATGTGGACCAGGCTGTTTGATTCCAAAGCGCATACATGAGAGTGCCAAATGGAAGTGCTGATTTTCTACGATAAACCTGCTTCTGCCCGCATGTTCCCACTTGTTGCATTGCTGGTTGCTCAACCCTAACACCCGGAAGTTATCATTTCATTCTTCCTTCTTCCTCACTCCACCATCCATTCCATTAGCAATGATTTCAGTTCCACTCCCCAAGTAGATCTAGACTCTACCCACTTATCTCCATTACCCCATGTCTTCCTCTTGCCCAGATTACAAGAGCCTCCTGTTTTTGTCTCCCTGATGTTGTCATTCTTTTGATGGATGCTTTCCCTTTTTTTTTTTTTTTGGCTTGAGCAAGAAGGCAGAAACTGCCTCTTTCTAAGCTCTTCACCCTTTTTCAAAAAATACTTATGAAGTACCTACTGTGTGCAAGCACTGAAATAAAGAATGTCTTGGACGATCTAAGTACAAGGAGGCGGATGCTTTACTTGACAAGAAAAGAGCAAGTATTACAGCAAACTATTACACTACATGGAATTAAGTTAAATTCATAAAGTGGCACAGTTTCATTAAAGATTGATTTCACCTCCTAACTGGCTACCCATTATGGTGGCTTTTGAAGTCTGCCAATCACTTTAGACCATATATAAAAAGCAGAGACATCACTTTGCCAACATAGGTCCATCTAGTCAAAGCTACGGTTTTTCCAGTCATTATGTATGGATATGAGAGTTGAACTATAAAGAAAGCTGATCGCCAAAGAGTTGATGTGTTTGAACTTCAGTGCTGAAGGCTCTTGAGAGTCCCTTGGACTGCAAGGAGACCAATCCAGTCCATCCTAAAGGAAATCAGTCGTGAATATTATTGGAAGGACTGATGCTGAAGCTGAAACCCCAACACTCTGACCAACTGATGGGAAGAACTGACTCACTGGAAAAGACCCTGATGCTGGGAAAGATTGAAGGTTGAGGAGAAGGGTACGACAGAGGATAAGATGGTTGGATGGCATCACTGACTCGATGGACATGAGTCTGAGTAAACTCCGGGACTTGGTGATGGACAGGGAGGCCTGGAGTGCTGCAGTCCATGGGGTCGCAAAGAGTCGGACACGACTGAGGGACTGAACTGAACCACTTTAGAAAGTTCCTCTTAAAAAAAAAAAAGAAAGTTCCTCTTATTTGGATTCCCCCTGCAAGCTAAGAATGCTTTAAGGCTTGCCTAAGGTTTGACAGATGTAATCTAGAGCATTAGAAATGGCTGTCTCTTAGCAACCTGTTTGATCTCTTGAATGCAGCATTTCTGAAGCCACTCAACCCTTGGACTTTTCAGTTCAGGGTCATTAAAGTCCCTTCTTTCCCCTATGATTGTTTAAGGTGGGTTTCTGTCACTTGCCACTAACAGTCCTGTGTAACAGCCTTCCCCTCCCTTACATCTTTCGCTGCACTACCACAATCTATCCTGTTTGCTGGCTTGCTAACTTGTTTAAACTATCCTTCCTCTTTCAACTGAAAATGTTTATTAAAGTATGCAGCAGACTGAAGAAAATTTTAAAAGCAGAATTTCAGTAATGCTTTTTATCTTTTCCTACAATATTCTGGGCAATGACAGTACTGCTTGAAGAGTCAACATCACACAATGCAGCTTAGTGGAAAATGGTTGAAAGATGGATTCTGGACCCTGAAATCAAACATGTATTAGTTGTTTCACTTTGCACAAGTTAGGTAACTTCTAAGTCTCAGTTTCCTCACTTATAAAATGGGGATAATACTGGAAGGATCCAATGGGATGATGTATGGACCTCAATTAGCACAGAGTGAGGAGCTCACGGAATGAAATGAAAGTGTCTATTAAAAATTAGTTATGAAACTCTAGTATGACAAAAATCACTGTACTTCATAATGACACTTTAAACAGATTACAGATGACCTATAAACACTAGGATAACATTTACTCATTCTTTTGAGATGTCCTTTATAGAAACTTCCTTTAGTTTCAAGGTGACATTATAGTCTGGAGAAACAGATTCCCGCTCACATTGATGATACCAGTTCATGAAATCAAGGCTCTCACATAGTAGAGCATTCCAAATTTTTCAAATAGTATTAACATCTAGTGAGACATCAGGTAATAAACAGAACTGTCAAACAGGGAGTATTAAATTAGGGCAAAAAAATCTGTTATGAGGGTGAAAGAAAAGCAAGGACACTTAGTATTTTTTCTTCAGAGAAACAATAAAAAGGTATACTTTCACAAAGTAACATAAAAAATGGAGACCTACTGACATAAATATTGGTATAAAACTAGCACCAAGTTATACTCTTTAACTCTAGACAGTTCACTTTTACAAACACCTAAATATGATGGACATGCTTTTACTGATCATTCTTTCCTTAAATGATCTCAAAATGAGGTCTACAAAGCTTGTCTCTCACGTGTGCAATTCAGCAAAGCAAACAAAAAAATTCAGCAAAACAAAGGAAAGTCGTCTAATTCACCCAGATTATTCTAGCAAAAGTAGGCGTTGTGTCTGAACCATCTGGTTTTGCAAACTCTAGATAAAACTAATGTAAAGCTAAATATACAGTGGATAGAATTTAAAAACCATGAAAAGCTTGGGTCTTTAACTTATTCTGGTTTACTGATCATTAACCAGTGATCTGATTTCTATAAGAGTTGACAAAGAGAAAATAAAATTTACACAGGAAATCCCAGCTTTCGCCGCTTTATCGAAAAAGTCCCCAAAAGGCCAAGGGCCTAAAGGGACACCTCCCTTCCCCTTGAAGCTAAAGGTCAAAATCATTCTGTCATTACCCTACTGGCGGTGTCCTGAACTCCTAACATCCGCGCAGCTGTTCAAGGCGGCAGAGTCGATACGCCTCGACCACTGTTTACGGTACACGAGGGCCGGGAGCGGCCATCCACAAGGGCGCGAGCATCACCTGCGCCCGGGAGGGCTGGCCGCACGCCTCCGAAGCTCCCAACCTGAGCCCCAAAGTGCAAACTTGAGGCGTCCGGGGTCCTTAAGACTATACATGCATAATTGGTTTGATTTTACACGAGGCGAAGAGACGCCGGAAAACGCTGAAAGGTTAGCAACTAACTGGTAGACACGTCTGCTCAGGAGTCGGTAGACATATTTTCCAGTCCCCCTAACCGTTTACAAAAGGAAGCCTGAGAGGAACTCCAACCTCCCCGAGAAACGTTAACTTCGGGGAAAGGCTGTAACAACCGCGCTGCAGGCCGGTCGTCGGGAGCGCAACAGGTGACTCGCCGCCCTCCGGCCCCGGCCGCGGCGCGCCCCGGAGCTGAGGGGAGGGCCAGACGCCCCTTCCGCCGGCGGCCCCGCGGGACGCGAGGCCGCCTGGCCGCCCCCCGCCGCCCTCAGGCCCGCGCACGGCCGTCCCCGCGCCGCCCTCAGGCCCGCGCACGGCCGCCGCGCGCCCGTCCCCACACTCGCATAACTTTCCGCGCGGCCACAGCCAGCCGGGAGGCTCGCGGGCCGGGAGCGGCGGCGGGGCCACTCACCCTCGGGGTCCGCGCTGTCCGTGAAGACCTTCAGCAGCGCCACCCCAAGCACGACCCCCAGGGCCAGCAGCGTCAGGAAACCTCTCGCGCCTAGTCCCATTGTTCCGAGGCGGGACGCCGAGGCCTCGCGGGTCCTCAGCGGGCGGCGGCACGGCTGAGAGCCTGCACCCGCTCCCCTTCCCCTTCCCCTTCCGCCGCGCACGCCGCCCCTCCCGCCGCCTCCCCCCAAACACCAAATCGGGCGCGGGAGCCTGACCCGGAGGGGGCGTCGCGTGCCGGCCCAGGCGGCGGGGCGGGGCGGGGAGAGGCGGGGCCGAGGCGGTGGGGCGGGGCTGAGGGGCGGGCGCGGGGCCTAGGCTTGGGGGCGGGGCGGAGCTGCGGCGGCGGGCCGGAGCCGTGGCAGCGGCGCGGGGCCGAGGCGGCGGGGCGGGGCTAAGGCGGGGGGGGCGGGCTCGAGGCGAAGGGGCGGGGATAGGGCGGGGCTTGCTATTGGCAGCGTAGGGCTCTCCTCGCCGCCTCTCCTTCCCGCGCGCGTCTGCGAGCCCCAGAAGGCTTCATCAGGTTCCTTTTTTTTCCCCCCCCGGAAATGGCGGTTTCGGTTTTTTTTTTGGAAAATAGCGAGCACCTGCTGCCTCTCCGGATAGCGAGCGCGCCGGGCTTTGCTGGGCTCCGAAGGAAGTTTTTGAAGAGTAGATTTCTGGTGGGGCGCGTGGGATGCTTGCGGCTTCGAGTGAGAGGGAGAAGCCTTGGGCGAGGGCGGAGTAAAGTGAGGTCCAGGAAAGAAGCTGGAGTAGATGGGATCCCCTATGAGGGGTCCTGGGCCGTCAGAGGGTTTTGTTGTTGTTTTCTGAGTGATCTAGCCTAAGATGGGGCGAGGGGTGGAGGACTCGACAAATTCGTTTATGATTCCCTGGTGGCTCAGACGGTAAAGCGTCTGCCCGCAACGCGGGAGACCCGGGTTCCATCCCCCGGTTGGGAAGATCCCCTGGAGAAGGAAATGGCAACCCACGCCAGTACTCTTGCCTGGAAAATTCCATGGATGGAGGAGCCTGGTGGGCTGCAGTCCAAGGGGTCGCAAAGAGTCGGACACGACTGAGCGACTTCACTCACTTTATACGTAAAACATCCTTGATCTCTATACCCCAGATTATACGCCATCTTCTTTCACAGGTTCCCGGCTTCTCTAGACAGCTTCCGTGCCTAAAGCAGTTATTAAGGTGGACTCTGGGGCGGAGGTGCGGGGGATGGCGGCAGGGGGACACGGAAGAATTGGTAGCTATTCAGAGGAAAGTATAGCCAGCAAGACCGAGTTTGCACACGTCCAGCCTAGTACATTCTCTCCTTGGAGAAGGCGTCTGCTATCCCAGTTGGGATGGAATAAGCTGTTTTGAATAGTTTTTGCCTAAGTATCTCTTCAGCCCTTGGAGCCAGTGCTACTCACCTGTCTTGACTTGCAGTACTCCTAAAGTCTGCATTTTGTTTCTGCTAAGAACTCTGAAATAACCTGTAGCAACCCATGGCTGATGCAAGAGAATGACAAAAATTTAGTCCTGATTTGGGTGGGAAACCCTCAGTTGAGAAGGATCCAGGGCACATAACATCCAGCCACGCCCCAAGCCCAACTATATAAATGTTGCAGATCAAAATGTTGTTGGTTCTTTTGGTACCTGACCCAGATTTCATGACATAAAGGCCTTGATATAGCAGTTAAACCCCACAAAATATGTTATGACAGATTGTATAATTTCTGATCTCAGGTTCGGTCTATAATTGTAGACATGACTTCTATTTCTTTGCATTGATCTCTGAGTAAGGCTTCTTACCTCTCCTTGCTATTCTCTGGAACTCCACATTCAAATGAGTATATCTTTCCATTTCTCCTTTGCTTTTCGCTTCTCTTCTTTTCACAGCTATTTGTGAGGCCGCCTTAGATAGCCATTTTGCTTTTTTGCATTTCTTTTTCTTGGGGATGGTCTTGATCCCTGTCTCCTGTACGATGTCATGAACCTCTGTCTATAGTTCATCAGACACTCTGTCAGATCTAGTCCCTTAAATCTATTTCTACTTGCACTGTATAATCATAAGGGATTTGATTTAGGTCATACCTGAATGGTCTAGTGGTTTTCCCCACTTTCTTCAATTTAAGTCTGAATTTGGCAATAAGGAGTTAATGATCTGAGCCACAGTCAGCTCCCAGTCTTGTTTTTGCTGACTGTGTAGAGCTTCTCCATCTTTGGTTGAAAAGAGTATAATCAATCTGATTTCGGTGTTGGCCATCTGGTGATGTCCATGTGTAGAGTTGTCTCTTGTGTTGTTGGAAGAGGCTACTTGCTATGACCAGTGCATTCTCTTGGCAAAACTCTATTAGCCTTTGGCCCTCCAAGGCCAAATTTGCCTGTTACTCCAGGTGTTTCTTGACCTCCTACTTTTGCATTCCAGTCCCCTATAATGAAAAAGACATCTTTTTTGGGTGTTAGTTCTAAAAGCTCTTGTAGGTCTTCATAGAACTGTTCAACTTCACCTTATTCAGTATTACTGGTTGGGGCATAGACTTGGATTGCCGTGATAGTATGACCAACCTAGACAGCATATTAAAAAGCAGAGACATTACTTTGTCAACGAAGGTCCATCTAGTCAAGGCTATGGTTTTTCCAGTAGTCATGTATGGATGTGAGAGTTGGCCTATAAAGAAAGCTGAGCACCGAAGTATTGATGCTTTTGAACTGTGGTGTTGAAGAAGACTCTTGAGAGTCCCTTGGACAGCAAGGAGAGCAAACCAGTCCATCCTAAAGGAGATTGGTCCTGGGTGTTCATTGGAAGGACTGATGTTGAAGCTGAAATTCCAATACTTTGGCCACCTGATGTGAAGGGCTGACTGATTTGAAAAGACCCTGATGGTGGGAAAGATTGAGGGCAGGAGGAGAAGGGGACGACAGAGGATGAGATGGTTGGATGGCATCACCGACTCAATGAACATGAGTTTGAGTAGGCTCCAGGAGTTGGTGATGGACAGGGTGGGCAGGGAGGCCTGGCGGGTGGCAGTTCATGGGGTCACAAAGGTCGGACACGACTGAGCGACTGAACTGAACTGAACTGAATGAATGGTTTGCCTTGGAAATGAACAGAGATCATTCTGCTGTTACGGAGATTGCATCCAAGTACTGCATTTTGAACTCTTGTTGATTATGATGGCTACCCCATTTCTTCTAAGGGATACCTGCCCACAGTAGTAGATATAATGATCATCTGAGTTAAATTCACTCATTCCAATCCATTTTAGTTTGCTGATTCCTAGAATGTCGACATTCACTCTATCCATCTCCTGTTTGACCACTTCCAATTTGCCTTGATTTATGGACCTAACATTCCCTTGACCTAACATTCCAGGTTCCTATGCAATATTGCTCTTTACAGCACTGGACCTTTCTTCTATCATCAGTCACATCCACAAGTGTGTCTTGTTTTTGCTTTGGTTTCAACCCTTCATTCTTTCTGGAGTTATTTCTCCACTGATCTCCAGTAGCATATTGGGCACCTACTGACCTGGGGAGTTCATCTTTCAGTGTCCTATCTTTTTGCCTTTTCATACCCCTGTTCATGGGGTTCTCAAGGCAAGAATACTGAAGTGGTTTGCCATTCCCTTTTCCAGTGGACCGCATTCTGTCAGACCTCTTCACCATGACCCAGTCGTCTTGGGTGGCCCCACATGTCATGGCTCAGTTTCAGTGAGTTAGACAAGGCTATGGTCCATGTGATCAGACTGGCTAGTTGTCTGTGATTGTGGTTTCAGTCTGTCTGCCCTCTGATGCCCTTTCTAGTGCCTACCTTCTTAGTTGGATTTCTCTTACCTTGGACGTGGAGTATCTCTTCACGGCTGCTGCAACAAAGTGGAGCTGCTGCTCCTTAACTTGGACGTGGAGAGGAAATAGGAAAAAAAAAGAAAGAAAGAAAAGAAATAGAGGAACTGATTCAAATGAATTCTTTTTAATGGCTGAGTAATATTCCATGGTGTATATGTACCACAGCTTCCTTATCCATTCGTCTGACTGGAGCCCATTATACAGAGTGAAATAAGCCGGAAAGATAAAGACCAATACAGTATACTAACGCATATATATGGAATTTAGAAAGATGGTAACGATAACCCTATATGCAAAACAGAAAAAGAGACACAGATGTACAGAACAGACTTTGGGACTCTGTGGGAGAAGGCGAGGGTGGGATGTTCAGAGAGAACAGCATCAAAACATGTATATTATCAAGGGTGAAACAGATCACCAGCCCAGGTTGGATGCATGAGACAAGTGCTCGGGGCTGGTGCACTGGGAAGACCCAGACAGATCGGGTGGAGAAGGATGTGGGAGAGGGGATCGGGATGGGGAATACATGTAAATCCATGGCTGATTCATGTCAATGTATGACAAAAACCACTACAATATTGTAAAGTAATTAGTCTCCAACTAATAAAAATAAATGGAAAAAAATAAACAAATAAAAGACAAAAAAAAAAAAAGAAATAGAGGAAAACAACAAAATGGGAAAGACTAGAGATCTCTTCAAGAAAATTAGACATACCAAGGGGACATTTTATGCAAAGATGGGCTCAATAAAGGACAGAAATGGTATAGACCTAACAGAAGCAGAAGATATTAAGAAGAGGTAGCAAGAATACACAGAAGAACTATACAAAAAAGATAATCACAATGGTGTGATCACTCACCTAGAGCCAGACATCCTGGAATGTGAAGTCAGGTGGGCCTTAGGAAGCATCACTACAAACAAAGCTAGTGGAGGTGATGGAATTCCAGTTGAGCTATTTCAAATCCTAAAAGATGATGCTGTGAAAGTGCTGCACTCAATATGTCAGCAAATTTGGAAAACTCAACAATGGCCACAGGACTGTAAAAGGTCAGTTTTTGTTCCAATCCCAAAGAAAGGCAATGCCAAGGAATGCTCAAACAACCACACGATTGCACTCATCTCACACACTAGTGAAGTAATGCTCAAAATTCTCCAAGCCAGGCTTCAGCAATATGTGAACTGCAAACTTCCAGATGTTCAAGCTGGTTTTAGAAAAGGCAGAGGAACCAGAGATCAAAT